GCCAAAGCAGGAGTCCTCAACAACTTTTTCAAAGAATTGCACATTCAAAAAAAATGATAGAGTAAAATATGTAGGTACGATGCGTTCTTCTGGACAACCTTTTCCAGCTCATAAAGGTCCACATTATAGCTTTCATGGTAAAGTAATTATGACATTTGAAGAAAATGGATCATCCAAATTTGGTGTAAGATTTGACAAACAAATAGTTGAAGGTAAATGATCATAGTGGTCTATGTGAAGAGGATCACAGGTTCTTCTATACAGTTGACTGCTTCGTCTAGATTGTTCTGGCCCGGACAATTCCGAAAGGATTGCTATCAGCGAGTTAAAAGAGGTTGTGACTAAAGAAGTTGAGAAAAAAAGGAGACACTGGCAGGCTAGAGATACTATAGAGCTCTTTTACATCTTCCATCGAGATGATGTCCCAAGCGATTATGTTATGGGCAAGTGCATCGTATATATTGTTCCCTTTAACAAAAAGCTGTCAATTCGTTCTCAGCATCTTGGATTTATTGTTCAAGAGACACTTATTAGGTGGAAGGATTTGTCGGAGTAAAAAGCCACATAGGAGTCATATGAGATGACCAGGAGATCGTTCACATCCATCTACTTTCAGGACAATGTGCTTTTCTTTGGTGGGGGAAGTATTGATACGCCAAGGGGGGCTCACCTTGTGGGGCCTAAGAGGGTTAATATTCACTATATAAGGAGGAGAAATCGGGGAGAAAATAATTATGAAATTTATTTAGGGAAAGATGGATTATTTGAATTTAAATTGAGGAGGAAATTTGGAAAGGTTTATTTAAGGAAAGAGAACTGATTTGAATTGAAAATTTTGTAGGGAATTAAGAAGATTTTATTTAGGGAAAGAGAGCTAATTTGAATTTAGATTTGGGAGAGAATTATGAAGATTTTATTTAGGAAAAGAGGGCTAATTTGAAAGGTTTTATTAAGGGTAAGAGGGCTGATTTGAATTCAAATTTGGGAGGGAAATATGATGGTTTATTTAAGGGTAAATAGGTTGTTTTATTTTTATTATGTGATTTATTTTTGTTGTAGTTTTCTTAGGAGTTGTTCCTAATGGCATCTAGGGTTTGTGGGAGAGCTGATTTACCTCTCGACCTCTCGAATAGTAGATCATTGTACATTTCTAAAAAAAATCAGCCCCTATCTTCGAATTCATGCAGTTTCTACTTGTTTCTTTCGTTATTTTTATTTCCAAGACGTATCATGCTCTTCCTCCTAGGAATATTATTTCCCCACCATATGACCCCCCTGCTTTTAGCCCCTTTTCCTGATTTTGAGATTTGTAATGTTCTTTTTAGTTCCAATAAGAACTTAGCTCCTTGACCTAATGGTTACACTTTTGGCTTCTATGTTGATAATTGGGATGTTATTGGCGGGCATATTTGCAAAGAAGTAAAACACTTCTTTTTAAAATGGTATCTTCATAAGAAAGTTAAAAAAAATTGGTATTGCATTGATTCTTAAGTCTCGTCATTCAAATTGCACCTGTGATTATAAGCTCATCTCTCTTTGCAATGTTTTTTTTACATAATCATTGATAAACTGCTTGAAGCTAGAATTAAGCCTATCATGACATACATTATCCATCTTGGTCAAATTAGTTTAATTTCTAATAGAATATCTACTGATAATATTATCCTTGTGAGGGATGTGATTTCCTTAAAGGTAACACGAACCTAGTATGTTTGGAGCTAAAATTGACATCTTCTAGGCCTTCGACTTAGTTTCTAGAGAATACGTACTTCATCATCTTCATCAAAAATGTTTCCCAAGTATTTTGATTAGCTGGATCAAGGCATGCATTGAGAAAGTACATTTTTATTTATGTATTAATGGCTCTTTGGAAGGATTTTTAACTCTTCGGCTGATTTAAGGCAAGGTTACCCATTACCTCCTTATTTATTTTATATTGCCATGGATGGGTTCTCTAACCTCCTAGAGGTTGTTGTTGTGGATAAGTCCTATGTTGGAATTCCCATCGGAACCCCTCAGATTTCCCACCTCCTCTACGCAGATGACCTGCTCATATTTGGAAAAGCTAAGCCTTTCAACTTGCAATTTCTTAAAGTAATTTTGAATCGGTTTACTTCTGCCTTTGGGCTTAAGATTAATCACTCTAAGAGCTCTATTTCCTTCTCAAAAAAAGTTATTAACCAACATCACTTGGCGGCTACCTTAAAGCTCAAACTTGAAACTATTGTGTTTCAATAGCTATGAGTTCCTATAGAAATTAGGAGAGGCCATGTTTCAGATTTTCAGCCTCTTTTAAACAACGACCTCCCTTCTTATAGACGGGTTGGAAGGCTAAGGCCTTCTCTTTTGCACGTAGACTTCAATTTCTTAGATTCACAATTGGAAACTCAATTGCCTATTAGATTAAGGGATACGTTATTCCTAAGAGTTGTCTGAAAACAATTAGTAAACTTTCTCCTAGTTTTCTTTTTCATGGTGATATCTCAAAGAAGAAACTCACTCCTATTTCTTGGAAAAAACACTTGCAAACTAAGGGAATTTGGTGGGCTACCCTTGCTCTCAATGATAGATAATTCATGCTTTCAACTGCACTCTTATTTGGCGGTTTTTCAATTCAGATAATCTTCTTGCCTGCTAGTGGAAACATAAACACATCTCGTTTTGGAAACCTCCAATGCAAGCTGCTACCAAAAGCTCGAAAAATCTTAGAGAAGTTGTATTTAAAAGTAAGAAACTGTTTATCTTTCATATCAAAGCAGATAGTAACCTTTCTCTTATCTAGGATCCTTGGATTAATGTAAAATCTATTTTTGTGAGCTCTGGTAGCTCTCTGCCTCTCCCAAACAGCAGATGGGGTTGAGCATTAATGAGGTAAGATCTGGGTGTTCATGGAAACTACCTCCTAATTGGCCCTCTTCTGTACGTGACATTATTTTTGCTATACCCATTGCTTCTAATGGGTTGGTTTCTGTGGGGCTGCATAATGATAGCAAACCAAGTTTTCTCAATTCTCCAATTAACCTAAAGTTTCGTGGGCTAGATATGTTTGACACAAAAAATAGGCCCACAAATACTCGGTTTTCACTGGGATAGCTATGGTTGGAGGGCTCAAAGGTAATGGAAGCCATTGATCAAATTCCTTGTATGTTAATCTCTGTACCCTCCGGATGGTCATCCTTCCGGTGCCTGGCAACCGGGTGTACACCTTGCTGCGACAGAGCTTTATTTACTATTTTATTACCATGATCAAGGTGATTTTTGACTTTCTGAGTCCAGGATTTTTGCTTTATTTCTCCAATCTTAGATTTTGCTTCACGTTTTTCTTCAGATTGTAGCTTCTGTTTTTTTTTTTTAGCACCGTCTTATATGGTGCTTCAATATCTACTCCTCGTGATATGTAATGGCCGAGTTGATTATGGTCCCTTTTTGTAACTATCTTTTGTAGAATGAAAATTGGGCTAGGTCCCTCATTTTACCTCCAACAACAACAACAACAATATCAAGCCTTTATCCCACTACGTGGGGTCGGCTACATGAATCCTTTTTCTCCATTGTGTCCTATTAAAAGTCAAATTCTCGTTTAAATCTAATAAAGAAAGGTCATTCCTAGTAAGCCATGAACAAAAAAAAAAAGAATTCCTCAAGGTCATAAAACCCATCATTTTATTTGGCAAGTCCAATCATCCGCATCATGCTATGCTCTTAAAAGATATATATATGAAAGATAAGCTACAATACTAAATTTAGATACTTTAGTTAGATTTTGAATGAATAATAAGATGATAAATAATTTAAATACATGGAGTACATTTTAAAGTATGAGTGATTTATTTATAAGAGCATCTCCTTGACTGGCCATAGTTGTCAAGGATACATGAACAATTGTTATTTTCACATTGCTCGAACAAGGGGTTTATGAAATAAATTTATGAAAGGAATTAGTCATGTAATATGTAGCTCATGAATCAATGATTCATGAGCTAGAATGGGCAGCTTTGATACCTCAAAGGTACGAGAAAAGAAGATAATACTTAGACTGTTTAAGTATAAGCACTTACCATAAAAAAAAAAAAATTCAATAATTTTAGACATTTTTATAGCCTTTCTATTTCTTCTTTGTGAAACTCAATAGGGGATTCTTTGATGTTTTCTTCTCCCAAGTGTTCTATATGCATGTTTTACTATTTTGTTCGTGGAGAGGGAAGGCATGACAACAATGCGTTCGTTAGGGCAAAAAAGGAATAGAATCTGAAAAAAGTTTTTATTTCAAAAATTTAGAAGAAACAAAAGATGAGAAGGTAGAGTTATGATACCATAACTAGAATTGAAGAATGGTTAAGTATGTTTTATTCCAATTTGTGTTCAGAGTTTATATAATCCTACAAAAACTCCTAATAGAAAATAAATAAAATATGAGAGAAACTAACTGAAATAAAATTAACAAAAGAATAATTACAATATGTGGACAGCACAAAGGGTTTCTTTGTACCGCTGGATAGCTCTCATAGATTATTAACATGGCAGTAAGGAAAGCATGGATCTGTTAGGCAGCAACGGAGGAGAGGGAGGAAGCTGCCGGCCCATGTAGGAAAAGTCTAGAACACAAGTCTGGTGCTGTTTCTCAAGGTCAATTCCAAGCAAGCTATGCCAGATTTTGGCAATTACGCAATAAAAAACTATCAAATTTATTGGAAGAAGCCATAGGGTGTTAGTAGTGGAACAAAAAATAGACCAGCCTTGTCCTTCGAGTATTGTTCGGGAGCAAAATTAATTGAGATAACCAAAAATATAGAGAACTAAAGGAAATTCATAATGAGCTACACAAAATAATAAAATCAGAACTTCTGCCAATAGCTTCCAAGCATAGCAAAAATCATTTGCAACTAGGGTAAAATATATACTGTCAAAGTAGCAGCAAGAATGATTTTAGGAGTATTACAGTTTTTCAATTTCAGTCTAGATAACAAAGAAATGTGGGAAAGTAAAATCCTGAAACTTACCACAATGAAAGAAGTATCCACACCATCACCTTTGAGTTCTGTCAGAATATTTTTCCCTTGAGCATCATTAGCTATCTAACACGTAAATCACACAAACAACAAGGCTTAGTAAATTTGATATTTATAACTTTGGGAAATAGATATTTTGACGCAGAATGAAATCATTTTGAAAATCATATAACCATCATTCACAACGCCAGATCTGTAATGCTAAAAAGGAATGACTAAACTTTGCAGGAAGAACTCTTTGAACCTGGCTAGGCAAAATAGAGCAGTTCCATTCCTCAAACATCACATGAAGAAACTTATAACTTACAAAACTCAACTTCAAAGCTTCTTATTAGTAATACTGCTTCATAGACTAAAATGAAAAGGCCCAGAGACCAGCTTATGGCTTATCCATCTAGATTATAGCTTATTATATACTTTGTTTTGCTTAAATTCCCGAATTCACAGCTCCAGCAACTGTATCCGGATAATTGAATTCGTTATCTTCAACTTCAAATTGATCCAGAAATTCTAGCATTAGCTTTTAAAATCATAAAAAATGAGATAAGATTAACCCTGATGACTACATTATTGAGTTCTTGACATGTAAATATGAACGGGGTATAAGGCAGATCCATGTTGATTTGTAGAGGTGTAGTGTTAAGCTTATGAAAGGAAGACAACTTTTTGTGTGCCCTTGACAGTGTATCAAGACCTTGGATTGCATTTTATGGGTGGATTGGAGAATGAATGGTGTGGTGACCTTCCTTTTGCACCCTCCAGTAGTTCAGGGAGGGAGTGGCATAAGCTTTCATCGTGTTTTACTTTTATTATCTCAATTATTATGTTTTAATTAACTTTAATAAAAAATTGTAAAGTTTTTCCATAAACTAAGCTAGAAAAATAGTGCCAACTAAGAATTTTAATAGGTTGGTTTTAACTTATGCTTAGTCATTCTACGTATGTAACGAAGCTTAACGATTTGCATGGCCAAGTGCACGGGGCAAACATATTTCTTTAAGCATAAGTCATGAATTTGAAAGATCATAAAATAGATATCCAAGGTAATGGCTAAACCTTAGAAATCAACCTGGGTTTCAAACCCAAACGAGCTGCACAAGTTAAGGCATTCCCTGTATTGCCACCACCCTCAACCTACAACAGTCAAAATAAAATCAAATCTCAATCTGATAATATGTTGCTTCAGATGAAAAACAATTTCCATTTAGTTTTAATTTAACAAACAAGCATGCTAGAGATGTACTTCACGAACTGCAATAAATACAGAAAGATAAACTTAAACTCTAGAAGATGCATACGTTCAAGTATTTTGAAGCAATGGCAAAGATATAAGTTCATTAATGAATTTGATTTAATTGAATTTTTTTAGGATAAAATACTGCATTCCTTTGTGCTTGGATTTATATCTTAGCATATAAACCATTTCATTATCATCTTATTGAATTCTGAATTTTTTCTCCATGGTGTCCTGTTAAGAATCAGATTTTCATTTACATCTAATAAAAATAGTCACTTCTAGCACTTGCTAGTCAAGGCTTTTTAGGTCTACCCCTACCTTTCTTAACATAAGCCAATCTAATATATCTACTCTACTAATTTCAATAATTCAAAATCTTTAAGGACTTAAACAAGAAAAATAGCAGAAATTGTAAGCTGCCAGTTGGTCTGCAAATTCTAAACCAATTTATCAGGTAAAATTTAGTCCCAAATAATATTAATACTAATAGTATAGAAACCTCCAGCCAAACAATGAAGATGAACCTCAAGAAATTAACTAAAATAATTTGGTAACAGGTAAATACTTCATAAAGCGCAGGATTTTTTTTTTTTTTTTAAGAAAAAAAATTGAGGGTGGTGGTAGAGAAAATTCACCCTCAATCATTGATTTCAAAGAAATAAAGAGGGCTCACCAGAAGAAACAATTTTGATTGAAATGATACCACATAAGAATTAATTAGATTTCCTTCATGAGTTCCATTGAGTAATGAGTATGCTATCATATAATCCAAAATCTGAAATTTCCCTTAACCTATAAATTAGGAAAGGCAATTTATTCCAGCAAAAACTAGCCTACTCGGTACTAGGGGTGTAAGTGAGCCGAGCTGGCTCGCGCGCGGGGCGGGCGGGGGAGCCGGCTCGAGCTCGACTCGTTTATGGGCTTGCGAGCCGAGCTTATCGAGCTCGAGCTCATTTGCTAAACGAGCTCGAGTTCGAGCTTCATTAGGTTCGGCTCAAGAGCTCGCGAGCTGGCTCAAAATTATTAAATCCGAATATTAAAAAAAAATAGTTAAATGCTGTATAAATCACACTTAAATTCCCTCTAGCATATATTTGAAAAATTCAGAATGAATCTCATTCGTTTGCCCCTCTCTCTCGCTAACAGCAATAAATGCTAATAGCTCTCTCTCTGACAAAACCCAAAAAAGCTGCTCTCTCCCTCTCTTTCTCTCTCCCTTTCACTCTCTATCTCTGTGCAGTTTTAATTTTTAAAAAATCGCCTCTCTCTCTCTCTCTCTCTCTCTCCAATTTCAACTTCTAAAAAATTGCACGCATGAAGCCGAAACGGACCGCGCGGGAGGCTCGACATGCAACTCGACGAGCGGCTCAAACTCATTTACGTGGAACGAGTCGAGCTCGACTCGAGTTCAAGCTAGAGATCGGTATTTGACAGTTGAGCTCGATTCGAACACCCCCTGACTCGAACTCGACTTGACTCGTTTGCACTCCTGCTCGGTACACAAGAACTTCAACAGTATAACCTAATAAGATATCTCATTATCCAGCTAAAGCAACATAGAGATATAATTCCACATTTCTATGGAGTATAATGTATAATCCATCGCCTGAGAATAGTTCAATATTCATGCATTAATAATTATACAGCATATTAACAGACACAAAGACCATTAGTGACCCTTAGATGGAGAACATCAAGCCGTTCATTTTCAACATCAATATTTCTAACAGATATGAGAGTTGATTGGGAGTTACTAGTTTTTCTTAATAGACATTTATTTCGGTGGTATTAATTATAATTTATTGCAAAGCAAATGTAGCGATTGTGTGGAAATCCAGAAAGCATTTCCGAAAGCCTTTAAAGCTTCAGTCAGCACTCCAACAATCCAGGAACCATGTCTTCAAGCGAGCGGCCAGAACTTCAGCAATTCTGCAAAACTCTATAGCTGCTAAAACAATCAATTTAATCTAGAAATCCCTCAAGCAGTTATCAAATGCTAAACCAGTCCAGCAGTACCACAAATTCCACTCAGGATAATCCAGTTGTATATTCAAATCAAAGATATCATAATTTCTTATATGTTGATGGTCACTCATTTTAATGCAAAGGGAAATGATTTCATATATTTAATTCACTGGAATTATGCATATAAGAAAATGCTAGGTTTATTGCTTTTATCTTCGATTTTTTTTTCATGGGAACGATTAGGAATTTGTTTTGTTTTCATTGCTTACTATTCTATGGCCATTAATCGGGTTGTCTGTGCCTCCTATAAAATATATACCTTTTACATCTCATTTGAACAAGAAAAAGAAGTATTTCCATTCTCTTTTTCAACGTATTATCAAAGCGATTCTTCTCCAACTTTTAATACCTCTCAGATTTCTAAATCCACTCAATTTTTTCTTCCTATGGCTTAACCGTGATGATGGTTAAACATTGAATGGCCCTGATAGAAGCTACTCCGATTCAACCTCTAGCCATGAACCAGTAGCCCATGGAAACAACAGCAATCAAGAGAACTTCTCCGATCCATTGGCTATTAGGCCTATTAGGCATAAATTGAATGGTAAACAATAGTCCGAATCGATTAAGATGTTCATCATCAAAAGAGGAAAAAATTATTATTTGACTGATGATGCCATTCCTCATAAAAGAATACCAAAAATTAAAATTTGAACAGTTAAAAATAATATGGTTATGTAATGACTTGTCAATATTATAGATATGGAGAACAACATCAAGTTTTTATCCCATTATGCAGCGTTGGTTACATGAATTCTTTTTTTCCATTGTGTACTATTAAGAGTCAAATTCTCATTTATATCTAACAAAATTTCATGTCCTACGAAACAACAAAAATACTTAGTATTTTCTAACCAAATTTCATGTCCTATGAAACAACAAAAATACCTAGTATGTCACAAAGGAAACTTAATTTGACAATGAAAATACTGGAAAATTACTTGAAATTAAAAGTACTCTCTATGATATTTGACAAGATCATTTCGTCACCCAATAATACAATAACCTTACTTGATGTCGGCAATAGATTTATGTCTTTGAACAACTAACCAGGAGGATGCATCCAAGTACCCAAAAATTTTTTTGAGAGAGAAGATATCTAAGTTTCTGTGACTAAATAAAAATCTTAATGAACATAGACAAGATATTTGAGATGACAGTTCTTCCTTTCATTCAAGAAGTCTTTTTTAAAGTCTGTAGAGAAGAAAGACGCAAGAAGATCATGATAAGAAATCAAAGAACCTCAAACTACAAAGAGGTATCAACCCTTGCTTTTTAAGGCATAAATACTTCTACTGATTACTAAAACAAATGCCCTTGTATGATTGTTGTCGCAAGACTAAATATAAATGAAATATGCTAAAAGTTTCATGGGAAATATGTTGATTTGAAATCAAGAAAGAGAGATCGTGCTTTCTTTGCCATCAATAATGATCAACCAAGAACTTATAGATATGTCACAAAAGATATTTACCCAACACCAGCAAAATCCTACAGCACTTGGAATTAGCATCAAATAGGTTTCTTAAAAATGTAATCCATTGAACATTGTTAATGCCAAAAAACGAAAAATTATAATTCTAGATTGCGGACTTTGGGGCTTCATACTATATGAGAAGGAATGCCTAATTATTCAACATCATTTATCCTTGTTTAGAAAACCATACTGCCATGATTGTCAATCACCATCTCAGGTAACTAGCATTGGGACAATTAACATCACTAGCTCCTTGTTTTTAAAATCAATTACCTTGGCACCCAAACTTAACTGCAACACATTATCAATCAGTACAATTTCCAAAAATATTCATTGTATTGCTCAATTCTTCTATACTCATTATGAACTCCAACCTGTGTTTTAAAAGAGGACGATTAACAATGTTAAAGAAAATACTGGACTCTACCTTAAATGTTAAAAAATTTTCAACACAACTAAAACATGTTCAATATGTATCTTATTTTAATAAAGGAAATGCAATCATTAAAATTACCAAAATATTAATTATGGTGCTAAATTCCCCCCCCCCCCATTCATTGTGAATCTCAAGATGTGATAACTTCGAAAAAGGATGATTAGCATTGTTAAAAAAAAAGTTGGGCTAAAACACTTGAATGTTGAAGAAAACCTGAAAAACAAGTGAAACATGCTCAATATGTTAACTTATTTAAATAATGAAAGTGCAATCACGTTGTACCAATTTTGTTTAGGTCACACCAACTTCATGTATCTTAAAAATTATTTTTATGCATTCTTCATCGATAAAAATCAAACAAATTCCAATGTGAAAATTGTCATTGCTGTAACCATAATCAAAATATTTAACATAGTCATCCATATAAACCCTAACAATCATTGTAGCCATTCATAATGATATTTGAGGATCATCTCAGGGGAACAATATCTCTAGTATAGGTGAGATATATCTTTTATTAATGGTCATACTAAAACCACCTGGATATTTATAATGAAAGATGCATCCAAAATTATTTCTACTTTTCAAAATTTCACTCTTTGATATAAACCCAATTCAAAACTTAAATTCAAGCCTTTAATGTTGATAACGGAAAAGAATATTTTTTATTCTATTATTTGAGACTATCTACTTCAATAAAGATATCTCCATCAAAATTCTTATATCAATACTCAATAAAACGGGGGTTGTCCATAATGCTGAATAAATCATTAATCACATGTTATCAAGGATTCTGAAGTTTAAAACTTCTCGTCAAACTCTTAGCCAATCCCATAAAAAAATCATCTGCGCCACATTCCTTAAGGTTTGCAACTGCTCTAACGCTACACTTATAAATAAGGATAAAAATGTTTTCTCCCAATCCTTTTAAAATATTACATCTCCATGAATGATTTTTT